TAGCTCAGTGACTTTTCTTACTGCCGTGACCAAATACCCACAGGAAGCAACTCAGGGAGGGAGGACTGATCTTGGCTTATAGTTTGAGGAGATATACTCCATCATGATAGAGAAGGCATGGTGTCAGGAGTATGAAGTAGCTGTCCTCATCCCCTTCACAACAATGAAGCAGAAAGATTACAGGAAGTGGAACCAGCTTTAAACCTCCAAGCCTGCCCAAAGTGACCTACTTTCTCCATTAAATCTGTTACCTCCTAAGGGTTCCACAGTCTTCCCAAACAGCGCTACCAGCTGGGGACCAAGTGTTCTGACACAAGAGCCTATAGGGGACATTTTACCTTTAAGCCACAAGACCCATTAGAATAGATTCACATGTTCAACAAATGACGTATGACATGTTTTGGAATATGATATGTTTTAGGAAATGTGTACACTCTTGTTAAGTATATGTGTACGAGTGTCTCTGTGTGCTGGTACCTGTGGAGGCCAGCAGAGGGTGTCAGTTCCCTTGGAGTTGGGGTTACAAGTGGACCCAATTCTGGTTTTCTGCAAAAGCAGCGAGCACACTTAACTGCTGCTGGTTCTTGACAGTAACAAGCCGAAAGCTACTTATATACCTACCAATGACAGAATGAATAAGAGCATTTTGGAGTCAGTAATACCATGAAACATACTCACTAATGAGAAAGAATGCTATAACACTGGGCAAAGAAAAAAAAAAGGCTTCACAATGTATGTTTTCACATATGAAGCAATAAAAAGCAGAACAGGCAAAATGCATCCAGGTTCATCAAAGTGCATGTAATGTTTATCCTGGTGGATAATGGAGGTGGTACATGGAGGATGCTAGTTAGTGCCTTTCTTGATGTGTTGCTTGTTATATGGCTAGCACTTTGCAAATGTGTTTCAAGTTTATGATATGTGTTTTTTTGGTTTGCATATTATATTCCAGTAAATCATCTAGAAATATATCCCCCACCATTCTGATCACTTGGTGAAAATGAAATCTCAGCGTGGGTCTGGCTGGCCCTTAGCACTCCTTATCCTGGCTCACCCAGAGGAGCGCATTCCAGCATTGGAGGCTTCAGCAAGTAACAGTATCCAGCCCGAATTGTTTTTATTGTGTTTATTTTTATGGTTACCATCTGTATATGGCTATCCTTACTGGGTTTCCATTTATGGTAATGATATAGAGTTTCCATTTAAAATAGCCCCAAGTCAAGAAAAAGCAAACTAGCTTACATTAAAAATTACGTAAGTAATAGTACAGATGGTGCTTAGCGATGGGGAACTGTAAGAGGGTAGGGTTTGTACAGTATTGTTTAGTGAAAAGAAACCAGGGATTAGAAGGGGGAAAGCCAGTCTCAGCTTGTCTCCATCTCTTCACCAGTGCACACTGCCCTGCAGAGAGAGGCTCTCAAGCCAAAGAGTGTGTCATTTACAGAGGCTTTGTGAGAGATTTAAAGTAAGGAATATTCCAGAACAATGGTCAAAGCAAGAGACTAGGAGTAGAGACTTTAGAATTAAAGCAGAAATGAAGGTAGAAACAATATTAGTAGACACACATATGATTACCGAGTCTCTGTGTGGCAGGCAATGGTGTAGGCTCTGGGCATCGGGCAAAGTGGTCAAGACCCAGAAGAGCCAATAAGTTGATTTGAGGCCACGGTCAAGCCCCTCCACTTCTTTAGAATTCAGTGGGTTCAAACACAGCTTAATTCAAATACAAGAGTGATAAACATTTAAGGGCTTGGAACTGTAGGAAAAGTATCATATGTGTTTGCAAGTGGGACTGTGACCAAACTAACCCATGCACAACCATGACTGTGGGAGAAGATCAGAAGATATTGTTATTTTTGTCCCCCCCCCCCTTTTTTCTTTTCCGAGACAGGGTTTCTCTGTAGCTTTGGAGCCTGGAGACTGTCCTGGAAGAACTCTCTCTGTAGACCAGGCTGGTTTGGAACTCTCAAACTCACCAAGATCCTCCTGTCTCTGTCTCCTGAGTGCTGGGATTAAAGGCATGTGCCACCACTGTCCAGCATGATCACAGAAGATAAAGACAAGAATGCACACACTTAGTGCACACCTAACCCACAGATGTTTAGCTGCTCCTCACCTTAGCACACCCTTCCACAGGCCATCAGATGCAGGGTGAGGGTCACTGAAGTTCACTTTCCTAAGTAGCAGGTTAGGTTGTGCAGAAATCCTGTTTCCCAGCCCTTCCTTCCTCCTTCATTTCTTCTTCTTCTTCTTCTTCTTCTTCTTCTTCTTCTTCTTCTCCTTCTCCTTCTTCTTTTAAATTTATTTTTTATTTTATGTGCATTGGTGTTTTGCCTGCATGCATATCTGTGTGAGGGTGTCATATCCCCTGGTCCCTTAGAACTGCACTTAAGGTAGTTGTGAGCTGCCATGTGGGTGCTGGGAATTGAACCCTGGTCCTATAGAAGAGTAGTTGGTGCTCCTAACTGCTGAGCCATCTCTCCAGTCCTCTCCCCTTTTTTATTTTTTCCATTGATAGGATTTTATTAGGCAGTGCTGGCTAACCTTGAACTTAGGATCTTTCTTCTTTAGCCTCCCAGGTCCTGACCTTGCAAAGGTTCACCAGGATACCCCATGTCTTGCTTCCACAATGGCTGCTGACTCCTTAAGAAAAAAAAAAAAGAAAAAACAAAAAACAACTCTGCTAATTCTGCTTCACGAATTTCCCTTATATTTTAAAGATTGTATAAAAAGTCTGTGATGGCAGGCTTGTCTGGAGTAGGACACAGAGATTATGAGAGTCAGGAAAGATCTGAGACGAGGGTGCTCTTGGGGTTGTCAGTATTTGGGGTTGTGAAGGGTAAAGCTATTAACATGGGAATTAGAAGTAAGGCATCAGCAGGACGAGACTTCTAGAAATTCACAGTAGCTCATGCCTGTTAACTCAGCACTCTGGAGACCAAGGCAGGAGGACTGTGAGTTCAAGGTTGTCTCTCCATGTGCTTGGATAATCTTGCCTTTATAGTTTTTCATATTCATTTGTGATTAAATAATACTATTTGGAGTAAACAGAATTCAAGTATATTATTAAAATGGATGGTACTTATCTTTTTTTTTATACCCCCCCCCCTTTTTTCTGAGATAGGGTTTCTCTGTGTTATCCTGCCTGTTCTGGAACTTTCTCTGTAGGCCAAGATGGCTCAGACCCAGGAATCTGCCTGACTCTGCCTTCCATGGGCTGGGATTAAAGGCGTGAGCTATCACACTCTGTTCTTACTATGTTTTAATGTAGCTATTAGAAAATTTAGGTAATAATGTGGCTCCCCTAGCAGTTTGCATTAGATGTCTATGGTACACGAAGGTGCCCGGTACTATTTCTTTTCAAAGGGGATACCCCGTGGGTGAGGCCAACAGGAACATATTCCAAGGTAGGCACAAGACACCAGGACAGCTGGAGACGATGTGCAGGAGCCGCTGCCAGCTTTCGTCACTTTCCTACTGTAAGGTCTTCATTCTGTATAGATCCCATTGTTGTCAGAGGTCCATCTCTCTGCTCAAACACTGAGGCTGTGTCCCTGCTACGCCCCAAATTAAGCCAAATCTCAACACAATTAACTGATTTTCCTGCCAGTGCCCCATCTCCCCAGGGGTTTTGATCTCTGGCCAGAGTGACTTTCTAGTCTCACTCTTCCATTTCTGCGTCCTCATTTTGGCTGGTCATTGTGGTGAGGGTGCCCCATTACCAACCCTCCATCTCTCTCTATGGAATCGCCAAGCTTCAATTTCACACACGCCCACCCGCTTCGCTTCCTCTGAGCAATCCTATTCCACAAAGGTTCCTATGATGGCCAGATACTTACCTTGCCCAAACTCTCTCCCACAACTCTTTTGCTCCCCATTTCTTAAAATTAGAAATTTGTCTTCTAGCAGCATGAAGAAATTCATGCCCCTTTGGGGCCCGGCAGACTTAGGAGCAAATGGATGTTGAATTGAAAGAGCCTTAAAGTTAGACAGGGTGGCTTGGAGAAATCTCCTGAGGGAATGGAAACACCCCACCCAGCGAAGGTCTTTGTTAAGGTCACAACCCTGGGACACGAATGAATAATTCCAGGCTGGAATGATGGAGGTTGGGGGCAGCAAGGCTGGGTGACTCAGTCAATCGGAACAATGGAGGTAGCCACTCTTTGTCATGTCCTACCTGAGTGAGGGCTTCAGCCCAGCGCTAGGGCTTTCGCTCACACCTGGGGGTCTAATCTGACCTTTTCGGGACCCCCTTTAGTGGGCGTGTCTTCAGACCTTCTTGGGGCGGGGGTAGGGGTGGGAGCGTGTGTGTGTGTGTGTGTGTGTGTGTGTGTGTGTGTAGGGGGTGGGATGGGCAAATACAGCAGGGTTTGTGTATCATGGCCTGGGTCTCTCAGAAATTAGAGGACTTGGGGGTTGGGAGTGGGAAGGGAAGAGATTTGTCCGGTACCAGGAAATACTTCGGGTTTTTATTCGTCTCCGCGAGCTCTGGTTTGGGAAACTGAAGTTGTTGCTAGGAGGTGCTAGGACGAGCCTGGTCTAAAAAGACCGAACTTCCTCGGGACTCACTCAAGGTCATTGTTCCTAGCAACACGAGGACTGTGGGGAGCCGGTGAGAGCGCCGAAATCTTTAAGGTCAAGACTGCCTTTGTGTATCCCCAGCAGTCAGTTCAGAGCGGCCACGTGGGAAGTGCGCAAACTAAGTCCTTCCAAATCGAACTAAACTAAAAGACAAGAGACAAAAGCACCGGCACTTTCCCACTCCACGCCGATTCTACCCACGCTTGCAAGTTATTCTTACTCTCTCGAAGCGGGCGAGCCAAGGCTGAAGGGTGCAAAGCCCTGGTCACGGAGCAGTGGGGGACCAGCTTAACGCCCTAGTAACGTAGGGTGGGCGAGTGGGCGTGTGCGCAAGCACGTGCCCGCACGCAGGAGTGCCTGGGGGGGGAAGGGAGTGGTCTCCAAAAGGGGGAGGGGAGAAAGCAGGGGGGGCGGGGAGAAGCTGGCTTTTTAGGACCCGGCAGAGGCGGGGGAGGAGAAAGAAGGCAAGGAGGCGTCCCCCGCGCTCCCCAGGACCGTGCCACCTGCCCGCTAGCTCGCCGCACTAACGCTGCCAACAAGCCAACATGCTGCCGAGACTGGGCGGCCCCGCTCTGTCGCTGCTCCTGCCGTCGCTGCTGCTGCTGCTGCTGCTAGGCGCGGGCGGCTGCGGCCCCGGAGTGCGCGCCGAGGTGCTGTTCCGCTGCCCGCCCTGCACGCCCGAGCGCCTGGCTGCCTGCGGACCCCCGCCCGACGGGCCCTGCGCAGAGCTGGTGCGAGAGCCCGGCTGCGGTTGCTGCTCCGTGTGCGCACGGCTGGAGGGCGAGGCATGCGGCGTGTACACACCGCGCTGCGCCCAGTCGCTGCGTTGCTACCCCAATCCTGGCTCTGAGCTGCCCCTGAAGGCGCTGGTCACCGGCGCGGGTACCTGTGAAAAGAGTCGCGTGGGTGCTACCCCACAGCAGGTTGCAGGTAAAGCGGACTAGTTTGGGGGCGGGTAATCTCTCAGTTTAGCGGGATCTCCTGGCTAGCAGCCCTCACGTGGGAAAGCAGAGTCTGACTGGACCCTGGGACTGTTGTACACGAGAAAGAGCCCAGTCCTTGATCTGATTCAGGGAGACTCTTGAGTGCCGGAACCCCAAAGTACAGGATGGAGACTGGAGGTTGAACAAGCGGATTTTGATGGAGTAAACGAGGAGGGAGAGGAGACACGGTGTCACCACGGTCTTCCCTTGGTGAAAGTGATCCTCACCTCTACTCTGACGGTACTTAGTGGTGAGGAGAGTGTTGGTCAGATCTAGGGGCGGTGGGGTGGGGGTGGGGGCTGTAGGAACTTGAAACTTATTTAGAACACAAGTTGAGTCACCGACCACCGGTCGAATGTTCCCCAATGGGAAAACTACTGGGTGGCCGAGGCCACCGGGCGCAGGTGACACCGCGGACCTCGAGTGAGAAGGGATCGCTTGGAGGGACTCTTTCTTCTGGTATTGGGAGGTGAGAAGAAAAAGACTTGTGCTTTTAAAAGGTAAGGTTGCACGTGGAAAATGGAGGGGGCTCCATCTGTGTAACTTTAGCCGGATCGCCAGCTGCATTCCGGCACCCTGGCAGCCAAGCTGAGCATCTGGGCCTCAGGTCTGAATGCTGGAGCAGCTTGAAACCTGGAAGCGACAACTCTCAACATGTGTGGGTGTCACACCCCACCTCCTCCTGAATCTAGGGAACTCGTCCTATACCACAGAATGGGAAAGGTGGGGTTCTTTGTTAAGGAGCCCCTCTTTCCCAAAAAGTTAACTTGAGGGACACAATCCGGTTGCTAGGAGTTCACTTTTTTTTCTTCTTTATAAAAGCCTCCTGCCTCTTCGGTCTGGAGAAAGTTGTAATTGTTTTATTTTGTCTTGGAGACAGTGCTGAATTGTGCCCACTATTCGCTAACGTTTAAAAGGAGACTTTGACCAGTTTCTCAGAGGTGTTGCTTTAAAAGAAAGAAAGGGAGAAAGAAAGGAAGAAAAAAAGAAAGGAAGGAAGGAAAAAGTACAGACACTCTCTGCTTTTCGATTTCTTTGTGAGCCCCACTCTTTCCCTTGGTCTGTTTATCACTCCGCCCCTTAGAGTTAGAGGTCAGCTGAAGCCTTCTAGCTGTAGGGGCATTTTTGACCTTGAGTACGGAGTCCCAGGGTTTCTTTCTTCTTTCTCAGTTGCCTTGGGAGTAATCCTTGCCTCTTGCTTCTAAGGAATAATAAAAAGGAAAAGAAATCCGTTTTCCATGCCCTCCCACCTCATCACGACCCCAGCATCATCTTCCTCAGCAGAGTAACCCAAAGGCCATGCGGAATCCTTCAGATTTTGACCATTTTATTAAATCGTGGTGTACTTTCCTCTCATGGTCTTAATGCCCCCTCCCCCCAGTTGCTTTCATTCTAAGCCTGAAATCCAGCCTTTCTGCTTCCCAAGACAAGGTTGGAGTCTCTCGCAGGCAACAGATGTGGCAGCTTCCCTGGGTCACTTTTCCTTACAGGAGGCGGGAGAGGGGGTGGAGTGGGGTGAAGGGGGTTGTCAGGGGAGCTAGGGGACAATGAGGTGAGTTCATGGGAAGAATGTCACTCTGAATTTTCTGCCTGGTTATGGGCGTCTCTTCCACCAACTCGTCCCAGCTGCTGTCTCAGCCTTCGCCCAAGGGACAGATGCCTTCCACGTTTCCCTCCCGTGTTCCTGTCTGGAAGAGGGGGCATTAACCAAGGTAGGGGTTGGGCTGGGAACTGGAAGCTGAGTAGGTTAGGTATACTTGAAAGCCCTGGTTGGCAGAACTGCCGGGCTGTCTGGTTTTGCAAGGGTGTCTGTGGGAGAGGCTTTTGAGTTGGGGCAGGGACCAGGGACTCTGTATGGAGACTGTTGAAGTCTCAGTTGTAGGGAGGGAATATCATACATGGTCCAGACAGATCTTCGCCATGAGGGCCACTGGTACCCCCCTCCCACCGTCTTTCACCCATCTCTCTGCTCTGAAGGCTGAACCCTTCCCCCATCACCAGCGTTCCTCTTTGAGCAGGTTGCTTTTGAGAATTTTAAACATACCCTCTTATTTCCACGCAGCGCAGCCCAGCAGTTCCGGCTTTGCTCTTGGCTCTTTTGTCTTTGTTCCCAGGGACTCAGGGGCTGTATTGCTGGCTTCCTGGGGGATGGCAGGAAGGCAGGGTGTGGGGGTGGGCACGTCGGAGGGTAGAAGTGGCTGGTGGTGATCCTGCATCCCAAGAGATGATGGGCTGGGCCTCTTTGGTTCGTAGGAACAGAAATCAGGCTGGGAAGGCCTGAAAGAAGAATGAAAAGGAACTCCGAGGGCCGTTGCAAATCCATGCTTGCTTTCTAAGGGTCTCGGAGAAAATAAGGCCCTAGGCAGGAGAACCTAAAATAATCTCTGGGGAGTCACAGACTAGGGGGTGTAGGCTTGGGCCAACCTAAGCCCTTTCAGAATTCAGGCTAGGCTGGTTCCTCAGCATCTCCTCTGCCTCCTGTCCCCCATCCCCCCCCACCCGGTTTCACACAAGGCAGGGGGATTATGCTGAGGGGCGGAGCCGCCCTAGTGGCTGTCTGGCCTTTAGCACTTATAAAGGTGCTATAGAAATGTTCAGTCATTTAAAGCCCCAGAGCCCCAAGGGCTGGCCTGCTGATCGGTGATGAACGGGGAGGCCTGAATCTTCAGCCACTGAGAGGGGGCCCTGATTTACAGCGGCTCACTTGAGCTTCCAGATCAAGGGGGAGAAAGCCAAGGCACTTCTGGCTTGGAGCACTGCTTTGCATCTCGTCTTGCATAAATTTGCATACCGAGTTCACAATGGTAAAACAGACTCCGCAATGAGTGGGGCTCACTGTCTCTGCTGATTCCTAGCACTGCCTTCCTCCACCCTGTCCCTAGAGGGCCACCAAAGGGCGAGGCTGCACTAAAGACTGCTGGAGTTGGTTGGTTTGGGAACTGGGCTAGGTGTGGCTCTGTGTACCAAGGCAGCAGAGTCAGGGCAGTGGAGGGGACCAGGGAGGCACACAACTGTGGCCCTGGCCTGCCTTGGCCCAGGGGCTAGGATTGGAAGCAGCAGTGACGTCGAGTCTTTGTTCCCACTTTACTCCTTGCCTTCAACAGCTGTCAGAAATGTTCCTGCGTGGTTTCCTTCCTGTGACAGTGATGACCCAGTTCCTCAAGAGGTGGAAGGAAGCTTGAGGAAGGACAAATCCTGTGGACTGGCAGAGATGGTTTAGTGGGCAGTAAAGGTGTCTACTACTATAGCAACCTGAACTTGACGCCTGGAACCCATGTAAAGGTGGAAGGAGAGCCTGCTCCATGGATGCCCTTTGACCTTCACACATGTGGTCCCGCCTTCCCACAAACACAGTAATAACAAATAATAAAAAAAATTTAAAAACGAGAAATTGACTAGGCATTGGCAGCACATGCTCTCAATCCTGGAGGCAGAGAGGGAGGCAGAGGCAGGCAGATCTCTGAGTTCGAGGCCATCCTGGTCTATAGAGTGAGTTTGAGGACAGCCAGTGCTGCACAGTGAAACGCTATCTTGAAAAACCAAAACCAATCCGCTCCCCTCAAAGACACCCCCAAAACTTGGTGTAATAACTCTAAAAGATGTTATAAACTTCCAAAGCACTTTAACCAAACAGGGTAAGGCTACCCGAAATTAGAACAGGTGAGAGAATTGGGAGAGGGAACCCACTGGCTGCATTTACGAGAGGCTTCTCTGTGGAGTGGCTCACAGCCAACTTGGATGGTTGAGTTTGCTAGCGAGCCAAAGAAAGAGGGAGGCTAGGATGGCTCTCACTGTCCGCCTACCTTATGCTACCTATCCAGGCAAAGCATTTCCTGAAGACTGGGAGGGGTAGGGTGTGTGTGTGTGGGGGGCAGGTCAGTGAAAGTAACCCTATAAAAGTATTCCAGGGCGGGTGAGATGACTCAGCGGATAAAGACACTTGCTATGCAAGCCTGTTCCTTGAGTTCAGTCCCCAGAACCTAGAGTGGAAGGAGAGAACCAGTCCCTTCCAATTGTCCTCTAACTTCTAGAGCTGTGCAGTGGCACCCCGCCCCCCTCCCCCCAGAATAGTAGTCGTAGCTGTGGTTGATGCCTCAGATTGCTCGGTAGCAGGAATCCATCCACTCAGCGTCAGACATTTCAGGGCTGACTTGGAGAGGCTTCGTGGTCAGGTGAGCTTCTGGTTGGTTCTCACTGTGGCTCTTCACTGTTCTAAAAAGTCAGACAAGTTGCTATTAGAACTGCCAGGAAGCTTGGAGAACCCTTCCTGCTGACGGAGTGGAGGAGAGGGTAAATCACAGGGAAGGTAGGGCCAGCACTGCTAAAGGGACAGGAAGAAGGCAGACACCTTTAGTTCATTGGTTGGCTCGCTTGCCACAGCTGTCTACCACTGTGGCTGCATTTATTGTGTTCACCTTTTTTGTTTCCAGCTCTTTCTTGCCTTTATGCTGTCCTTGAAGTCTCTGTAGCTCCCCTTCCCCCACCTCCCGTGATTGTCTCTGCCTGTGCCTCCTTCACAGCTGGCCCAGCTGGAATGCTTGACTACATGGTGAGTAGGTGGATACTGTTCAGAAAAAGTAGCATAGGTAATCCATTGGTCCCAGCCTTCTTCAGCTCCAGTCCGAGGGAGGTGTACAAGGTGACCTGAGACAGGAATGTTGAACAAAATGCAGATTCGGAATGAAAGGCTGACTCTGCGAGCGGGCAGAGGCTGGGTCAGAGATGGGTCTTCCGTGGATGGGTGGCGTGGCACTTTGCTCCTAAGGGGGAGTAGTGCAGCTCTTTTAAAATGGAGCCAAAGAGGAGGAAGTTACAGATGCTTCACTAGGGAACCCGAGATCTGGCTGGCAGATGTTCCAGGCCCCTCAGCTTCTCTTTGTTATCTCTGGCTGGCGTTTTCCTGAGGTGGCAGGGAGCCATCAAAGATGGGTCAGCCCCTCTTGTGGC